AACCTAACCCTGCTTTAACTTCTCCACAAATTTATCGTTGACCTGTGTGGTGTGTTCCTTGGCCTTCATGATGCTGTTTGTTCACTAATGTTTTTCTAACAAACCTCTGAGGGCTTCACAGAACAGCTATATTTACAGTTGCAGGAAATTAAGTATGTGAACCCCTTGGGATTACGTGGAGTTTTGCATGAATTGGGCATAAAATGTGCTCTGAAACGTCATCTAAGTCACAACAATAGAAGAAACACAGTCTGCTGAACATAATACTACACAAACATTAAATGTAGCCATGGTTTAATTGCACATAACATGTAAAAATTCACAGTGCAGGGAGGAAAAAGTATGTGAGGCCCTAGCTTAATGACTTCTCCCAGAGCTAATTGGAGCCAGGAGTGAGCCAACCTTGACTCCAATCAGTGTGATGATATTGGATGTGTTGCTGACAGCTGTCCTGCCCTTAAAAAAAACACACACCTGTTTTGGGTTTACTGGTTTCATAGAAGCACTATCTGATGTGAACCATGCCTCGCAGAAAAGAGCTCTCAGAAGACCTACGATCAAGAATTGTTGACTTGCATGAAGCTGGAAACGGTTACAAAAGTATCTCCAAAAGCCTTGCTGTTCATGTGTCCACGGTAAGACAGACTGTCTACAAATGGAGAAAGTTTAGCACTGTTGCTACTCTCCCTAGGCGTGGTCGTCATCCTTGTAAAAATGACTGCAAGAGCACAGCGCAGAAATGCTGCATGAGGTAAAGAAGAATCCCAGAGTGTCAGCTAAAGGTACCTACAGAAATCTCTGGCACATGCTAACATTTTGTTGACACATCTACAATTAAGGAAAACATTAAACAAGAATGGAGTACATGGGAGGACACCACGGAGGAAGCCATTGCTGTCCAAAAGAATATTGCAGCACACGTTTGAAGTTTGCAGAAGAGCATCTGGATGTTCCACAGCACTACTGGCAAAATATACTGTGGACAGATGAAACCAAGATTGAGTTGTTTGGGAAGAACACACAACACTATGTGTGGAGAAAAAAAGCACAGCACACCAACATCAAAACCTCATCCCCACTGTGAAAACATGGCGGAGGGAGCATCATGGTTTGGCGGGCTGCTTTGCTGCCTCAGGGCCTGGACGGATTGTTGTCATTGATGGGAAAATGATTTCCAGAGTTTATCAAGACATTTTGCAGGAAAACGTATGACCGTCTGTCCGCCAACTGAAGCTCCGCAGAGGATGGGTGATGCAACAGGACAATGACCAAAGCATACAAGTAATTCAACAAAACAATGCTGCAACAGCACAGAATACGCCTTCTGGAGTGGCCCAGTCAGAGTCCTGACCTCAACCGATTGAAATGCTGTGCATGACTTAAGGAGAGCGATTCATACCAGACATCCCAAGAATATTGCTACACTGAAACAGTTTTGTGAAGAGGAGTGGTCCAAAATGACTCCAGATCGTTGTGCAGGTCTGATCTGCAACTACAGGAAACGTTTGGTTGAGGTTATTGCTGCCAAAGGAGGGTCAACCAGTTATTAAGTCCAAAGGTTCACATACTTTTTCCTCCCTGCACTGTGAATGTTTACATGTTATGTGCAATTAAACCATGGCAACATCTAATGTTTGTGTAGTATTATGTTCAGCAGACTGTTGTTCTTCTATTGTTGTGACTTAGATGACGTTCAGAGCACATTTTATGCCCAATTCATGCAAAACTCCACGTAATCCCAAGGGGCTCACATACTTTGTCTTGCAACTGTATACTGAGATTACATGACACGCAGGGGGAATCTGTTTACTAATTAGGTGACTTCTGAAGGTAATTGGCTCTCCACTAGATTTTAGTTAGGGGTATCAGAGTAAAGGGGGCTGAATACAAATGCATGCCACACTTTTCACAGATTTGTAAATGGAACATTTCAATGGGGAAGAAGGCTTTTTTCAAGGGACTGTAGTTATCTATACAGATTATCTATCTGAAGGTGGCGAACTTCCCTTTATTCAGCATTCCTGTACTGAACCGTACTGTATTTCTGTATTTTAATTTTCATCCAGAGCATTGTTTTCTGTTGTTTTTCATTACCCGTACGTTTTGAAAACAAAATAAAGATTTTACAAAAAGAAAAAAAAACCTCACCCTGCCTCTTACTAACTAAACTGGGGGGATTTGTACTGTCCTGGCATTTTAAGGGCCTCAAGAAATGAGATGGTCCCCCAGTACATCAGGATTGAACGATTTTCAAATATAGTTTGCATAGTTTGCAGAGACTATAACTTTCACACAAACCAGTCAATATACACTTATTGGGATTTTTTTTCCCAAAGACTTGTAGCAGACTACTGTATATTTTTTACCTAAATTTATAAGAAATATTTTTTTTTTATTAGATATGTTTTATAACAAAAGCAGAAAATATTTGTATTTTTTTCCCCAACATTTTTTGGTCTTTTTCGTTTATATATATTAAAAGATAAAAAACACAATGGTGATCAAATACCACCAAAAGAAAGCTCTATTTGTGTCAAAAAAAATTATATAAATTTAATTTGGGTGCAGCGTTGCATGACCGTGCAATTGCCAGTTAAAGTGGTACGGTGCTGAATAGCAAAAAATGTTCTGGTCATGAAGGGGGTAAAACCTTCTGGAGGTCAACTGGTTAAAAATAGACCTCTAAGTGTGAAATCTCCCACCACAAAATGTACTCAGCCAATGAAAGGTGATGACTCGGTTTTTATTCTTCTCCTGCTATCAATGGCCAACCCGGTCCCACACTTCATCCATGTCTTTGGTGACCTCTGATCTCCTTATGAACTGTTTCTTCCATGATGAAGATCAGCCATGGAGTATATCTGAGGTGTATATCAGGGTGTGCTTCTTCCCCACATGAGAGCTGGGATGTCCAGCAACATTCATCTAGAAGACATTTCCCACACTCAAGGCACTAATACACCTCCAGGGTGGTGTGGGGACCCTCATGTACAGGAAGGCAGGACTTCAGTGAGGAACATTTCCCTCACTCAGGACAGGAAAGTGACTTCTCCCCCATGTGCAATTTCTGGTGTCTGTAAAAAGTAGACTTGTCTGAAAAACATTTCCCGCACTCGGGACAGGAATACGGTTTCTCCCCCGTGTGCAATCTTTGATGACTGTAAAGATTGGACTTCCCTGAAAAACATTTCCCGCACACCGGACAAGAGTATGGTTTTTCCCCCGTGTGAGACCTCTTATGTATGACAAGATCTGATTTTTGAACAAAACATTTCCCGCATCAGAACAGGAATATGGCTTTTCCCCTGTGTGAGACCTTTCATGTTTCATAAGTTGTGATTTTTTGTGGAAAACATTTCCCGCACTCAGGACAGGAATACGGCTTCTCACCCGTGTGCAGTCTCTCATGTTTTTGAAGACCGGACTTCCCTGAAAAACATTTCCCGCACTCCTGACAAGAGTATGGTTTTTCCCCCGTGTGAGACCTCTTTATGTATGACAAGATCTGATTTTTGAACAAAACATTTCCCGCACTCAGAACAGGAATACGGCTTCTCACCCGTGTGCAATCTCTGATGTTTTTGAAGACTGGACTTCTTTGAAAAACATTTTCCGCACTTAGGACAAGAATATGGCTTCTCACCTGTGTGAGATCTTATATGATCATTAAGGCGGGATTTAAAATTGAAACCCTTCCCACACTCAGTACAGGAGAGCCTTTTCTCTGTTGGAAGGCCGGCCCGGTCCCGCACAGTCTGAGGTTCCTCAGGATACGAGGAATCTGATGGTCCATCTACACTGGGTGGTGCCGGATGGACATTGGAGGGAGCCGGGTTTTCTCCTGGACTATACTGTGTGATGTCCTCATCTTCTACTTTCCAGTCTGGAGACAAAGTGAGACAATCCTCGGAGGTTTTCCTCATCTCCCGGCCATGGACTAAAATACAAAGATAAAGAGGATTACTAGACAGGAGCTGATTGGTTCCCCAAACCAGGACTCCGCCCACACCAGGCAGCTTGGTCTCTGAGGAGCTTACAATTCCACCCTCAAGGGAACTAGGAAATGGCTCCTCTGATCTCCTACCAGGTCATTTCTTTATTCATGGACCTTAGTCAGAGAGTGAGGAAACAACCAGAACTGTCTTTTATAGGAGGGACAGTGATGAGGGGATTATAGGACGAGGGTCCCCACCCCCTCTATCACTCATCGCCATCTTCCCAACACAAGAAGTACTGCACTTCCTTATTTAGTCCATGATTTAGTTATGAAGAACAGTGGGGCTGAGCCCCACCAGAGGTCAGAGAGTGAGGATGGGGGGGAGAACAACCAAGATAAAGACTGGACTGATCCTGAAGACCACCATCATTGGGTATTGACTCCTCCCTCATTATCACTTTCTGTTTAAGGGTCCAAAGTAGGAGGATGTTATCACATTATTATCACCATGTAAAAGTCTGTGCTCCAAATCACATCATCCGATATAAAATGTCCAGCTGGGAGGAAATGGGTGTGTAACAAAAGAGAATCCATATTATGTGTATATATAGCAGTGGGGGGAGGGGGGAGAGCAGAAGTCAGGACTATGGAATATTTAGCATAATGTGTAGGCTTAGGACTACATATTGTGAAATGTATATCATATAGTGTTAGGAGTCAGGACTATTTGTATTTGGTAATCTTTGGTAGCAAAATGTTTCCTGTAGACAAGTTGCAGAGGTCCCACACCGCTGCCTCCCATCTCCTGAGACTGCACTAAGGGTGAGACTATACAGACATATCCCTCCACCCGGCACAGCCAGCAGACTACAGAGCAAGTAACCCTGGGAGGATTGTTCTGTCAGAGATCTTACTAGACCCGGGCATGGGGAAAAGACCCAACACATACCCCAGGTGCCTAGGTTGAGCAACATTTTGCTGCCAGCTGAACCCCAGAATCTCCATCAATCCAGTCTAGATACATAAATTGTGTCTGCAGCACAGAGAAGGAAGATTATCCGAGAGAAATCCAGGAATACAGGACGGGGAACACAGCTCAGGAAAGTGACCAGGGGATTACAGACTGATATCACCCAGTCCCCACCCTACTCTGGACCAATCAGTGAGCAGTAACAGAGAAGAGATAAGAGAATATATTGTGGCTCACCTGTGCTGATCTCTGTAGGAGTGTCCTCCTCTTTGAATGTCCTCATCATTCCATCCTCCTCCATAGACTGCTGATCATCCCTCACATACGCCTCTTCTTCTTCTGTTTTAACCTCAACTTTTATATCTATCAGATCTTCACCCTAAACCAAAGAAAGAGAGAGAGATATCATATATAAAATATCTCTTCCTTAACATCAACTTTAGGATCTCTCAGGTTTCCACTCTGAATATATAATAAATTGACATCAATGGTAACAATGCAGATAATGTACAGATCCTAATGATACTATCAGTGATTGTTCCTCATCTACCTGATGATGGTGAGGGATGGTGTGACCTTCCTGTGTGGAATCCCGGGAATACAGAGGACGGGGACATCTCTCTGGTGGGTTCCCATGACTGGATCCATCTGTAGGAAACACAGGAAACACACTGACTGAATCCATTGTTTCTATGTGTTTATCAGATGATGGGGGATCTAGGTGGATCCTCCGTACTGCTCTCTCCTTTACAATAAAGTCTCCTCTTACCCAGTGATGTGAGGGGCGGCGGCTGATTGTCCATCATGACGTCCTTGTAGAGATCCTTGTGTCCTTCTAAATACTCCCACTCCTCCATGGAGAAATAGACAGTGACACCCTGACACCTTATAGGAACCTGACACACACAATGATACAGTCACCATCCAGACACATCCCTTGTCTGTTACTGGAGAATGTCCCAGAATTCCCGGCACCGCTCACCTCTCCTGTCAGCAGCTCCATCATCTTCTTGGTGACTTCTAGAATCTTCTGCATGTTGTGTCTCTCAGGTTTTAGGGAGTCACATGGAGGCACTGTGATGGTCATATGATCACCTGACTTCAGAAGAGGAAATCTCTGTATAGAGGAACCAATAGGAATATCATGTTAGAATCCCAGAATCCTCCTCCTCACCCTCCGGTCAGGTTTGTGTTTTATTAATAGAGATGAGAGTGATGTCATGTGACCTCCCAGAATCCTCCTCACCTCTCCGGTCAGGTCTGTGTTTTATTAATAGAGATAAGAGTGATGTCATGTGACCTCCCAGAATCCTCCTCACCTCTCTCCGGTCAGGTCTGTGTTTTTATTAATAGAGATAAGAGTGATGTCATGTGACCTCCCAGAATCCTCCTCACCTCTCCGGTCAGCAGGTAGATGATCTCCAGGGTGAGGTTTAGTATCTTCTCAGTCATGTGACTCCGGTCCTCCTCCATCCTCATTGGTGCCATCATGTGATCTATACAGGTCTCCTTGTAGACGGATAACTTTGGGAAATGAAAGTAAGAATGATTTGGATGGTATTGGTCACACAATAATAGGATGTGGATGTGAGGGGGGAATAGGAGGGTTGCTGGACATTTTAGAACTACTCCCCCCCATGGGAACACATTTAGTCTGATGGATAAGATAATAAGCTTTATTTGTTATTGGATATATACAGTCAGGTCCATAAAAATTGGGACGTCAACCACACAATCAAACATTTTTGGCTCTATATCACCACCACAATGGATTTGAAATGAAACGAACAAGATGTTCTTTAAAGCAACTGTCAGCTTCATTTGAGGGTATTTTACATCCAAATCAGGTGAACGGTGTAGGAATTACAACAGTTTGCTTATGTGCCTCCCACTTTTAAGGGAACAAAAGTAATGGGACAATTGGCTTCTCAGCCGTTCCATGGCCAGGTGTGTGTTATTTCCTTCATTATCCCAATTACAATGAGCAGATAAAAAGGTCCAGAGTTCATTTCAAGTGTGCTATTTGCATTTGTAATCTGTTGCTGTCAACTCTCAAGATGAGATCCAAAGAGCTGTCACTATCAGTGAAGCATGCCATCTTTAGGCTGAAAAAAACAAAACAAACCCATCAGAGAGATAGCAAAAACATATTAGGCGTGGCCAAAACAACTGTTTGGAACATTCTTAAAAAGAAGGAACGCACCGGTGAGCTCAGCAACACCAAAAGACCCGGAAGACCACGGAAAACAACTGTGGTGGATGACCGAAAGAATTCTTTCCCTGGTGAAGAAAACACCCATTCACAATAGTTGGCCAGATCAAGAACACTCTCCAGGAGGTAGGTGTATGTGTGTCAAAGTCAATAATCAAGAGAAGACTTCACCAGAGTGAATACAGAGGGTTCACCACAAGATGTAAACCATTGGTGAGCCTCAAAAACAGGAAGGCCAGATTAGAGTTTGCCAAACGACATCTAAAAAAGCCTTCACAGTTCTGGAACAACATCCTATGGACAGATGAGACCGAGATCAACTTGTACCAGAGTGATGGGAAGAGAAGAGTATGGAGAAGGAAAGGAACTGCTCATGATCCTAAGCATACCACCTCATCAGTGAAGCATGGTGGTGGTAGAGTGTCATGGCGTGGGCATGTATGGCTGCCAATGGAACTGGTTCTCTTGTATTTATTGATGATGTGACTGCTGACAAAAGCAGCAGGATGAATTCTGAAGTGTTTTGGGCAATATTATCTGCTCATATTCAGCCAAATGCTTCAGAACTCATTGGACGCCGCTTCACAGTGCAGATGGACAATGACCCAAAGCATACTGCAAAAGCAACCAAAGAGTTTTTTAAGGGAAAGAAGTGGAATGTTCTGCAATGGCCAAGTCAATCACCTGACCTGAATCCGATTGAGCATTTCACTTGCTGAAGACAAAACGGAAGGGAAAATGCCCCAAGAACAAGCAGGAACTGAAGACAGTTGCAGTAGAGGCCTGGCAGAGCATCACCAGGGATGAAACCCAGCGTCTGGTGATGTCTATGCGTTCCAGACTTCAGGCTGTCATTGACTGCAAAGGATTTGCAACCAAGTATTAAAAAGTGAAAGTTTGATTTATGATTATTATTCTGTCCCATTACTTTTGGTTCCTTAATAAGTGGGAGGCACATATGCAAACTGTTGTAATTCCTACACCGTTCACCTGTTCATTTGGATGTAAATACCCTCAAATTAAAGCTGACAGTCTGCAGTTAAAGCACATCTTGTTCCAGTCATTTCAAATCCATTGTAGTGTGTGTATAGAGCCAAAAAATGTTAGAATTGTGTCGATGTCCCAATATTTATGGACCTGACTGTATAGTTATAGAAAAAAAAGCAGTTCCCAATACAATCACACATAATACACATGTGCATGATGCAATTTTTTTTTCATTTGGGATGCATTTGTTCATTGAAGAACTTTGTTTCATCATATTTGTTACGTTGAACAGATTTGTTTTTGGAATTCATAACTCATTCATTTCATAACTTCAGCATTCGTTTTGTGTATTACGTTGGTCAGAGTGGATTAAAATATTTAGCATTTTTTCCAAAAGATTGCTATATATTTATAAATATTATTGAGTTGGATGGATTCGATATTGTTGGATGCCAGTCCAACCCCAATAGAAAAGGCGTGAGTTAATTGGACAATATAAACTGGTGTAATGTGCATCCAAAGTAACGAATGCAACAAGTTTTGGATCCATTCATTTTCTGAATCCAAATTATCGAACAATTTGAAAAATTGAATTAATTTCCCCCATAGGCCCAAACTACTATCGCATCATGTGACTTCATCTGAATTAAACAAATTCATTTGTTCTTTTTGGATTCATTGCCATTCGTTTCTGTGTCCATTAATGAAATGAATGAATCGAAATGCACATTTAACACATCCATACTTCCTAACACCCGGCCACATACTGTATATTAAAGTGATTCTAAAATGTTTTTAATTAACCATTTGACGCCCGGCCTATGGCCGAATGGCGTCCGTAAAAATGTATTAGCTTTCCAGGAGGCCACCATATGGCGTCCTCCCGCACATGCGCAGTTCACGCGCTTGCAGAGCCGCGCAGCAGTGCGATCTGTCACCGGCCGATGACAGATCTGAGTACCGGCCCCCGTTGCCGGTACCATGTGACCTGCTGTGACCAATCACAGCAGGTCACATGACAGTTGTATACAATGGATGGCTTCATTCATGCCATCCATTGTATACTAGTGTCTAGCTGTGAATGGTCACAGCGATCACATGCACATGTCATGTGATTAGCTGTGGCCAAATCACAGCTAAGCACAAAAAAAAAAAAAAAAACCCTGATTGAATCGATTTCATTCAGGTAAATGCTTGCTTATAGCAAAGTAATTCTTTGCTATAAACAAATTGTGTAAAAAAAAAAATACTGATCACTTCCCCCCCAAGTAGTACTATGGTAACATTGTACTACTTTGGACATAGTGAAATATGAAAAAAAAATCCTAAAAAAAAGAAACTACAAGTCCCATGATGCCTTGCAAGACTCTGACAGCCACAGGCAAGGCTTGCAGAGGCATGATGGGACTTGTAGTCTTCAACAGCTGGAGGGCCATAGTTTGGAGACCCCTGGTTTAGTAGACCATATTACTAGAATTTATCTCCACAATGAGGAGAATGTTCCGTCCCGGAAGTGGGGGAATGTTGTGCCCTGAAGGGGTTAATCTGGGTTCCCACACTATATATGTGTGTATCATCATCTGCTGGAGATAAAAGACATCACAGTGACTATGGAGGAAGAGGACGGACGTGACTATGGAGGAAGAGGACGGACGTGACTATGGAGGAAGAAGACGGACGTGACCATGGAGGAAGAAGACGGACGTGACCATGGAGGAAGAGGACGGACGTGACCATGGGGGAAGAGGACGGACGTGACCATGGGGGAAGAGGACGGACGTGACCATGGGGGAAGAGGACGGACGTGACTATGGAGGAAGAGGACGGACGTGACTATGGAGGAAGAGGACGGACGTGACTATGGGGGAAGAGGACGGACGTGACTATGGGGGAAGAGGACGGACGTGACTATGGGAGAAGAGGACGGACGTGACTGACGTGACCATGGGGAAGAGGACGGACGTGACTATGGGGGAAGAGGACGGACGTGACTATGGGGGAAGAGGACGGACGTGACTATGGGGGAAGAGGACGGACGTGACCATGGAGGGGAGAGGACGGACGTGACTATGGGGGAAGAGGACGGACGTGACTATGGGGGAAGAGGACGGACGTGACTATGGGGGAAGAGGACGGACGTGACTATGGGGGAAGAGGACGGACGTGACTATGGAGGAAGAGGACGGACATGACGGGGGGTTACTGGCTGTAAATAGGAAATAAACTCTTATTACCTCCTCTGCTGCCACTTCCAACAACGTCTTCTCTCTACCTATGTATGGAACTTCCTGAGTGTACCTGACATCACTTCCTGTGTGTACCTGACATCACTTCCTGTCTGTATTCCATAGATATTTCCTGCCTGGGTAGCAGTAAGATCACCGCGTTGTGGAGCTCAGAGGAACTGTACCCCAAAGATACGTCTCGTAGAGGTCGATTTAATAAGACTGTAGGGTGCAAAATCTGGTGCGGCTCTGCATAGAAAACCAGTCAGCTTCCAGTATTTTTTGCCAAGGCTTAAGTGAACAAGTTGAAGATAGAAGCTGATTGGATACCATGCACATCTGTACCAGATTTTTGCATTCTCCAGTTTTAGTAAATCAACCCCATTGTGTGACCCCGGCCTTGTGCTGGGTGTGTATGAACTGTAGATCCTTATAGAGGGGTCACCTCCACTCCCACCAAGGGGGACAGAAATATATGACTGCCTAGTCCAGCCTTTCTCAGCCAGGGGTCCTCCAAAGGTTTCTAGGGGTTCCTTGTGCACTGAACTATTTTTGTCTCTCAGTAACAATTTCATGGCAATGAAAGAATGTCCTTCTCCCACTGACTACTGATATAAGGGATCCTTCTCTCATTGGTGACCAATAAACAGACCACGTGGAATGAGCTCCAAGTTTGGACTGAACCTATGTTTGAACAGAATTTACCTTGACTAGGTGGATCCCTTTTAGAACATGCGTGCGCACAAAATGCATCAGCAGGAGCCTACTTGCTGACGTCATGCCGCCTCGTATCCACAGTGATGGTCTGGCGGCCATCTCTGTAAGTGCTTTTTATCCATTGATGATTTTATGCTCCATGTGGTTGCTATCTTTTTAATACAAACATACTACACTATATGATATTGTCTCCGGGCTTGGTCTATGAGCTTGCCCTCTAGGAGGAATCCCTATCCTTGGTTCACCGTGGGCTGGAGATGGAGACTTAGCTACTCCATATTTGATTGTTGATTTGGTGTATCACCGGCTTCTGGAGAGATCCCACCTTCAACCGGGTCACCGGCAGGAGGAACAAGCAGGAACACCCCTTTGTGTCATCCCGCTCTGGGCTTGCTTGCTACTTACTTCTGGTGAGTGCATTATGGTGTAGGTGCAGTGCGGAAGTGTCAGGAATGGACTCAGCACTGGTGGTGGGACTCACCTGCCGTGTGGGCTGCAGTACCAGGGCTGACCAGCGGGTGCTCTCAGCAGCCAGAAGCTCACTCCTGCAATCGGTCAACACCTGGGGCTGATTGCAGGAGGTGTATTTAAGGAATGGCCAGACCTGCAGTCAGTGCCTTGGTGTATGTTTCCCATGAGCCCCTGTACCTGGTATCCTGTGTTCCTGCCTATCTGCCTAGTTGCTGACCCTGCTTTGATCCTGACCTCTGCTGACCGTCTCCTGTTGAACCCCTGGCTTGCCTGACCATCCTTCTGCCTGATCCTCTGTACCGCGCTGCCCGTGAGTTACTGAACCCGGCTTGTGACCCTGACCATTCTCTGCCTGCTCCTCCAGTACCTCACTGCCCGCACGTTGCTGACCTGGCCTGCCTGACTACGCCTGATGCTACCCAGACGATCCATCTATCCTGCACAATTCCAGTAACTACTGTCCAAACCTGCCAGCCCCTTCACATCAGGCTTTCCCCCGGTACATACCCTCGGCAGACCCCTCTACCACAGTTGGGTGCACTCAGGGGCCGCGACCTGGTCTCAGTCCTGCGCCAAGTCCATCCCCACCATCAGGGGCTCTGTTGAAAAGGCAGACTGGGGCTTAGACTCCGCGCCCTGGGGAAATCCTGTTCTGTGGGTCACTAGAGATCCCCGCCGGGGTGCCTGACAGTACCTTACGGCCCGCCTGATCATTCCACCTCTCCAGCCCTGACTACGCCTGTGTTCCTGAAGCCTGCTACTTCCCTGTGTCAGTCCACACATTTCTGGTCACACCCGGATCCCTAACAGGAAGTCACAGAAGTCACTACATTTTGTTGATTTTATCACATCTCTATTTTTGGGACTATTATGATATTTAGAGGACTTATATATTTTCATTTGTTAAACTGTCCATTATGTTTCTTTATTAAAAAGATAGCAACCACATGGAGCATAAAATCAATGGATAAAAAGCACTTAGAAAGATGGCCGCCAGACCATCTCGTGGACACGGCGGCGTGACGTCAGCACATAGGCTCCTTCTGATGCGTTTCGTGCGCACGCACGTTCTCAAAGGGATCCACCTGAAGGTGCAGTGCGGAAGTCACAGAAGCACTACATTTTTGATTTGATCACATCTCTATTTTTGGGACTATTATGATATTTAGAGGACTTACATATTTTCATTTGTTATACCTTCCATTTTGTTTCTTCATTGGAGTATTCACAATTCCCATTTCTTTTTTTATGATGTTTCCTTTCTCTTTTACGATTACACAGGTCATCATTGATTATAACACACATTTTTGTTAGCGCTGCACATTGATATTATAGTGTTTTGTTTTGGTGGAGACAGAGGGTTTGCCACGTTGTGCTAGCTGCTTGACTTTTTCCTGTTTTGTCTTGCGCTCCCCATTTATTCTTTGATTATACAGAATTTGGCTTGTTTGGGGAAGTCAGTGAACAATTGAACTAAATGGGTATTCAACAAAGTTGAACCTCCAGTTGCAGTATTACTACTGCAGCTTCTTGCTCAAGCTGGTTGATAGGGTGTCAGTGGCTGCAGGCACCGGTACACCTAGTGATTTACCCCCCAACCCATTCAGTTGTCAACTGGGGCTGACAGATGAATGTAAAAAAAAATTGCATGTGGCCCCCAACAAATTCATACTAGACTCTTCAGGACTGTACGGGTGTTAAGAGGGAACCCTATGCAAAAATAAAAAAGGGTGAGGTACCAAAAATACATACCAGACCCTCATCTGTGCATGGAGCCTGGATACCCAAGAAAGGGTGGAGAGAGAGGGGTGCCCCCTCCTGAACCATGCCAGACCACATGTCCCTCAACATAGGGAGAGTATCCAGCCAAGTTCATTCACTACTGGTTGGAAAAGTACAATACATGTATCCTGGAATCTGTACAACATATGGCATCAGCAACTTTTTATCGGTCTGCACAAAAAGGGAGTGAGATTGGACCTCTAGTCAATGTTGACTAGTTATGAGGCAAACTGCTCTGGGTTTGTTTTGATGCCGGACCCTATTGAAATCAATGGGAGCTAAATCTGTCAAATTACAAATGTCCGTTTTCTGAGCTAATAGACAAGTGGATGTAAAAAAAAAACAACTTTGGGAGGGGAGGTGGGCACTACCCTGGGAACATGTACCAATGCAAATACTTTACAAATTCCATGTGGACAGGAGCAGTAATTTTTTTAGCACTGACATTTACAAAGGATAAAAGAGTTTTTAAAATTGTGGGTAAATGATATTTCCCTCCCAGCTTCATTTTTTAAGGAAAAAAGGGCAAACAGACCAAAGGGTCCCCGAAAAATATGTAGCAGACCCCTAATGGTGGTTAAAAGCGTGCTTCTGACATTGGTCACTCAGATCTTTTTCAGTCCTGCCCCTTCACACTCCATAAACATCTAAGACACAGGTGTCAAACACAAGGCCTGCGAGCCGAATCCGGCCCTCCAGGCCATTTCATGTGGCCCTTGCACCTCTCCTGCAGGTAACCCCCCCCTTGCCTCAGTCCCCACCTTGTCTCAGCAGTCAGTAGCAGAGAGGAGAACAGAACTCCTCCGCCAAATCCTGTACCTCTCAGTGCTGTGCAGCAAGCACCTCCTCATCTCTGCCTTCTCTGGTCTCAGCATTCAGCAGACTCTGGTAACTGACTCCACTCCTCCTCTGATCCTCCTCCAGACCCTGCACTTTCTGCTTTCCAGCTCTGCCCCCAAATGGCGTGCACGGTGATGTTAGGGAGGGTGGGCAATTCCTGACATCTACAGTCAGGTCCATAAATATTGGGACATCGACACAATTCTTAACATTTTTGGCTCTATACACCACTACAATGGATTTGAAATGAAACTAACAAGATGTGCTTTAACTGCAGACTGTCAGCTTTAATTTGAGGGTATTTACATCCAAATCAGGTGAACGGTGTAGGAATTACAACAGTTTGCATATGTTTCCCACTTGTTAAGGGACCAAAAAAGTAATGGGACAGAATAATAATCATAAATCAAACTTTCACTTTTTAATACTTGGTTGCAAATCCTTTGCAGTCAATTACAGCCTGAAGTGTGGAACGCATAGACATCACCAGACGCTGGGTTTCATCCCTGGTGATGCTCTGCCAGGCCTCTACTGCAACTGTCTTCAGTTCCTGCTTGTTCTTGGGGCATTTTCCCTTCAGTTTTGTCTTCAGCAAGTGAAATGCTCAATCGGATTCAGGTCAGGTGATTGACTTGGCCATTGCAGAACAATCCACTTCTTTCCCTTAAAAAAACTCTTTGGTTGCTTTTGCAGTATGCTTTGGGTCATTGTCCATCTGCACTGTGAAGCGTCCAATGAGTTGTGAAGCATTTGGCTGAATATGAGCAGATCATATTGCCCAAAACACTTCAGAATTCATCCTGCTGCTTTTGTCAGCAGTCACATCATCAATAAATACAAGAGAAGCAGTTCCATTGGCAGCCATACATGCCCACGCCATGACACTACCACCACCATGCTTCACTGATGAGGTGGTATGCTTAGGATCATGAGCAGTTCCTTTCCTTCTCCATACTCTTCTCTTCCCATCACTCTGGTACAAGTTGATCTTGGTCTCATCTGTCCATAGGATGTTGTTCCAGAACTGTGAAGGCTTTTTTAGATGTCGTTTGGCAAACTCTAATCTGGCCTTCCTGTTTTTGAGGCTCACCAATGGTTTACATCTTGGGTGAACCTTCTGTATTCACTCTGGTGAAGTCTTCTCTTGATTATTGACTTTGACACACATACACCTACCTCCTGGAGAGTGTTCTTGATCTGGCCAACTGTTGTGAAGGGTGTTTTCTTCACCAGGGAAAGAATTCTTCCGGTCATCCACCACAGTTGTTTTCCGTGGTCTTCCGGGTCTTTTG